GGTGTCTGTACCAGGACTGTCGTAGCTAACATTAGCTCTGGTGTCTGTACCAGGACTGTTGTAGCTTTTTCTGTATATAATGTTAAATGAAGGAAATCTGAATCAGCAACAATCGGTTCTCGCAAGTCACACGCTAATCGATCCAAAAACAACTGCAATTGCAGCCAGGGAACCAATCAGAATCCATCTATCAGCTCTGAGGACCGTGTCTGTTATTGTTGGACAACACCGTCTCCAGTCCATAATTCTTTCCATTCCTTCTATCTTCTCCCTCCATCTCTGACGGTGTTGTTTTATCCAGACACCACGTCGCTCTCCGTCTCCCCCAGCGTCTGTGCCTGGTTATGAGGAGGCTCAGTGATATATTGTTGTTCGTCCACCCACACAAGGTGCACACGTCTCCACCAACTACATCACGTCACGCAGCCTGTCGTTCAGCCGTCGCTCCGCTGTCTGACGCAGCCTGTCGTTCAGCCGTCGCTCTGCATTTTGGCTGCAGCAGTGAATTTTTGTCTGGTGTCCTGCAGCTCTTCATCAACAGGCCTGTGTGGAGTGATGCAGAGTGACACACACTCAGGGTGTGTGTGTGTCAGACACACGGTATCCTCGTGTATGTGCCTTATGAAACAGCCTTCAGGTCCAATCGACATCAACCGTTGGATGAATCTCATTTCCACGTTGAAAAATCTTTTTTTTTCTTCTCTCAGCCGTCGGACTCAACAATCTATACCAGGGGTGTTCAACTCGTTTCCACCAGGGGGCCACATCATCAGTACAGTTCCCCTTGAAGGGCCGGTTGTGAATGGAAGACTGTATAGATGAGAGGTCGCCAACCCCTGGTCCGCGGACCAGTAGCAGTCCATAGGTCATTTAGTACGGGGACACAGTGAAAAAATCTACTTCATTTTTACTAATTTACTTCATTTAAAGAAAATCTTATTATATCCGTTTACTTTGTTTATTTAAAGATGTTCTGGCAATATTTTAAAATAACAGGTCACTCTGATACAAACAGAAAAAATGTAATGATCCTTCAGTGCTCAGTACCTTGGTACCGGTCTGTAGCGGTCTGTACCGGCTGACCAGTCCTCGGAAGAAAAAAGGTCGGGGACCGCTGGTGTAGATGTAACTGGAACTAACATGTTTCTGCGAGTGTTTTTTTTAATTCTTAGTTTAGGAAACTCTGCTACATGGACTTTACTAAACACTTTTTTAGCTCCCACCGGCCACAAAAGACGGCTTGGCGGGCCGCGTTAGCCTGGTCTCCAGTTATTGAGAACCGTGGTGGTGACACACACACACACACACAGATGTAATTTATCTGCAGATCAAAAAGGAGAGCTGAGATCCACGTGACCTCTGAGTTAAAGATTCTGGAAACACCTGTGCTCTTCCAAGAAGTTAATTACTGAACAAGTCAAACAGCAGCTCATTACAGTATATAATCATGGCTTTTATTAATCACACCTTCAAATTATCAGTAATTGTTTTTAGGTGACAGGCCTTCAGGAACTATGTGGAGCCTTTCTGAAGGGGTTAGTTTCCTGTGTCTGGTTTTGTTGTCAGGACAGACATCTGTCTGTCTTCTCAGGTCTTTGTGGTTTTTTAATACTGAAAGAAGTATGTCAGGTACTGCACTCTGCCCTGACATTAAAATGTTTTGTGTATACTCTATGTAAGTATATTTGTTTGGGCCGTATAGAATTAAAAATATCAATTAGGATTTTTTTTTTAAGTTTGTCACAGTGTCACAATGACAGAGCAGATGTGGTGAAGTTATAGGGTGGTGGGGGGGGTAAAGGGGGGTCAGATTAATTTAGTTTGTAGTATTTTTGTATTTGTGCCTCAGTAGTAGTACACAACTCTTAAAAAGATGAAGTTAAGACAGATAATAAAACAAGGTCAACCTTGAATTTCATATGAAATAAGGACATTTTGTCAGATGAGGTTCAGTTTAAAAAAAAACAAAAAACATCTGACCAATGATCTCACAACCTATGATAAGATTTTTAAATTTCTTAAATCACTCTCTGGCCCACTGTCTTATTTTGAAAGGATTTTTGTTTTCCAAGCTCGTGGTAATTATCCTGCTGTAACGTCAAGTCTCTTATGTGGTTTGAAAACTTGAATGAAGATCTGTAGAGTGTCCCTTTGTGTTGTCTGGAGCTGTCAATCATTCTGTCCACCCCACATCAGCTGTGGACGTCGTTTCCTGTTTCCTTCAGGTTCAAAGTCAAAATAAAGGTCAATAACAAAAGGACCTAACGACATCAGTGCTAACGTCCAGATCCAGCTGCCTGGGTTTGGTCTCTTTGTGTAGGGATTCAGCCTGTGGTTCAGTGGTAAAAGGATTGGGATTGATGACAGGAGGTCACAGGTCCCAATCCCACCTGAGTGGCAGTGTTGACGTCTATACATGGATATATGGATATATGGATATATGGGCAAGAATCTGGTGATACGATACGTTTGACGATACAGGGGCAACGATACGATATGTTGTGATATAATATGGTACCATGGGCACGAAGATACATTGACGGATTGATTGATTTAACTGTAGTCCCAGTGTGATCCTAGTCTCAGACTCTGNNNNAGCTGGAGAAAAGTGTCAGGAGTGATCTGTGACAGAAGAGTGTCAGCTAAGGTGAAGGGAAAGGTTTACAGGACAGTGGTGAGACCAGCCATGATGTATGGTTTAGAGACAGTAGCAATAGGCAGAAGACAGGAGGAGGAGCTGGAGGTGGCAGAGTTAAAGATGCTAAGATTCTCTTTAGGAGTGACAAGAATGGACAGGATCAGGAATGAGGTCATTAGAGGGACAACACAGACAGGAAGGTTTGGAGAAAAAGCTAGAGAAGCCAGATTGAGATGGTTTGGACATGTGCAGAGGAGGGACAGTGGATACATTGGTAGAAGAATGTTAGAGATGGAGCTACCAGGTAAATTTTCAAAAAAAAATTTTCAAAAATTAAAAAAAAAAAAATTTTCAAAAAAAAATTTTTTTCAAAAAAAAAAAATTTTTCAAAAAAAAGTTTTCAAAAACATTTTTTCAAAAGAAATTTTTCAAAAAAAAAATTTTCAAAAAAAAATTCCAAAAAAATTTTTTCTAAAAAATGTTTTTCAAAAAAATTTTTTCTAAAAAATGTTTTTGAAAAAAAAATTTCTAAAAATGTTTTTGAAAAAAAAAAAAAATAATTTTTTTTTCAAAAAAAATTAAAAAAAAAAAATTTAAAAAAAAAATTTAAAAAAAATTGGAGTCAGAGTAGGAGATGCAGAGAACAGGGAGAGATGGAAATCAATGATTTTCTCTGGCAACCCCTGAAAAAAAAAGGGACAAAGCCGAAAGAAAAAGAAGAAGAAGAGAATAAAGAAAAGAAAAAGAAAAAGAACCAACACCAGGAATATTGGACTGGGAATTGGTGAGAAAAAATCAATACATTGGTGTAGAATATTGATAAGGTATCGTGAAATATTTCAATGTATTGATATTTTCTCATCCCCTTAATATATACAACAACCTATGCTGTTGGTATGGTTATTTCTTCGTCTATGTCAGTTGTGAAAAAAAGTTAAAAAAAAAATCTGAATAAATAAATAAGCATTAAATATTCCTCTCTTACTGTTAAACTTCCTGTAAATACTTTTTGATCGACGGCTGTGTCTTTGTTTATCATTGAAGTGATCACTTTACTCTTCATAGCAGTGACTGATTCTTGTTTCTATCATTAACCTGGTTAAGGTCAAACGCTCAGCGACGTTAACTAACCACCGTCTGGTCGTTGCCGCTGCAGTCCCACTGTCCCACTGTCCCACTGTCCCACAGTCGTCACCTGTCGGTGTATTATTCGGCCTCACAAAGCTGCCTGAGTTCAAAGTGGAGTTCATTGTGACATCAACCGCTGTGTTCAACTCCCAGACCACCAGTTATAGCCCGGCTTATCGGCTGTGCTCCAGCGCCTACAGTCACCCAGTCGGGGTGGGTTTGTGTGATCCCACTGTTTATTTTAGCCCACATTAAAATGTGGTGGTGGGGGGGGCAGAGGGGGGGCTGCATCTCTCCGGGGCTCGTGGTGGCTACTGTGGTGGGTTAAATGAGGGACTGTGGTGGGACCCCCTTGGGCGGCTCAGTCTCACCCTGTTGTCCCTCTGCTCAGCGTTCACCCTCATCTGGATCCTGCAGTCACGCCCTGCGGTTAACTGCCGCTGTTTGTCGGTTGGTTTGGTTTGGTTAAAGAGGCACAAAGAGGGTTCAGGGACACCAAGTGCCGTGCCGCACAACGGCCGCTAGAGGGTAGTCAGCCACAGTAAGCCAAGGCGGCAGGCTCTGCTGCAGCGGGTGGTCACTGTCCTCCGGGGGTTCGATTCTAGTCTGCCGTACACGGTCAGCA